GGGCGCCCGGCCGGCCGCCCGAGGCGAGGCGCGCCATTTCCTAACCACGCGCAGCGCGTTCGAGAGTCTGAGGCCAAGACTCCCCACGGCGACGAGGCCTGCGCCCGAGATGTCCCTCTCAGGTCCCTGTGTCGGCTGCCCCTTCCTCCTCTTCTACCTCCCCCTCCCCTTCTTCTTCCTCTGCTTTCCCTGGCACCCCGCCCACCCCTTACACCCCGGGACCATTTCCCCCGCTCCTGGGAAACAGAGCACAGAGCCGCCAGTGCGCCCGGCTTGCACTGCGCCCCCGTCCGGCCCCGTGGACTCCCAAGGCCAGAGTCGGGCTCGGGCTAGAGCCAGGGTGCGCTCCAACCCCGAGCGGCGCCGTGGCTCCCACCCCAGACTCCAGCCGGACCTGGGCGCCCTCTAGCGGAGTCACTAACGGGGGGCACGCTGGGGGCCGCCCCGGGGTATCGGGGCTGAGGGCGCTGGTGGCAGGACGACGACCTGGGCGCCTGCTTCCCTTGACCAGGGGACCTCGCGCGTGGAAAGGGCGTCCGGACCGCGCTTCTGTAACTTCACGCGGGAATAAGCAGAAACTTTCCTCCTAGGGGAAGGTTTTATTTATTTATTTATTTTAGAGCTTGAACTACAGGAGAAGGGGGAAATTTTCTCATTAAAGTTACATCCCTGCAGTTAGTTCAATTACTTGATATATGCAGAAGATGTTGTAAATTTATAGATTTAAATAGCTTACAAAGATGCCGCAGGCCCCATCAGTTAATTTCCTTAATTTATGGATTTTTAGCTGCTCCTAGAACAGAAAGGGGCCGTGGAAGTAGGTCAGGGATCTGTGCAGCGGCTCCAGCCGGCCCACGGGCTTCCCACTCTGCTCCCCACGCCCTGGTGCCGCAGGGTTTCTGGCTCCCAGCTCCTGCCTGACAGCACCGCTCTCTGCCCTCCACGCCCCTGCTAGGCCGGGCAAGCCAGACCAGGCCCTGGAGGTCTGCTCCTCTGCATGGCTGACAGCTCCAATCTCTCCAGGGCAGCACAAGGCTGAGGAGCAGCAAAGCCCCCATTTACACACACCTCACCCGGCATTGAAGAAATGGACCCAAATAAGTGAAGCAAGTATCCAAATACTTTCACCTCCTGAATCCTCTCTTAAATGGTGGCTGGGATCACAAATGGAGGAGGGCATTGTGGGTATCCCAAACTTCTTCACAGACAGGAACCTTACCCCTTCCCAGGCCTTTGAGTACTTGCAGGGTGCGGGGGAGGCATATGGCAAAGTGCAGCAAGCACCTGTCTGTGGAGCACAGACCCACTGAAAACCTGCTTGTGGTGGCCCTCGTGGTCCTGAGCACCCCTCACTTCTCTATTCCTAGGTGCCTGCTAGAGCTTCTTTGTTTTGTGTTCAATATGGATGAATACATACATATAAATTAATACTTAAAAGATTGGTATAAACTAAACTGTTTTAGGGAGCCACATGGCAATGTGATTAGTATTGGTATTCATGATTTAACATTTCTTTTCCCACTAGATGAAGTTTCTAAGATTTGCAAGGTACATGTCAAGGACGGGTGTATAAATGGATTTTTATTTATTCACAACTCCAAGACTAATTGCTTCTCTTTGCCTCAAGGCCACGAGATTGGTTTTAATATGACACTTCAAAAGTATTCATGGAACTACAGAGATACTAAGTGTCATTGTTTAAGAGACAAATCTCACCGTGGTACTGGTGACCCTGAAAAGAGGATGTTCCACTTTATTTTAAATTCTTACATGTTTTTTTTTAAAGAGTTTCACTTTATACCAACTATATTAAAAATGCACAATTTAATCAAAACAAGAACTGACCATTTTGAAGGACCTTTATTTCCTTAATATTGCTGGTAACTTTGTTTTCATATTCCTGAATCCTTTTATTAAAGAGCTGAACTTTAAACATGTCATTAAGAAGAGTGAGTTTGGTTCATAATTTATTCTCAAGTAAGTCTGAGTCATAATTTAAAAGTTAATGGTTAAATGTCAACTATCTTTTACACCAAGATTTGGACATGGACTGTGATAGGCATTTAATGATCTGTGGTATATAATGCAGGAGTGAAACTTTTTTTTTATTTAAAGATGTATAATTAGGACTAAACATATTGAAATATCTTGTGACATACATCTTGTTTCATTACGGTGGTCCAAGAGATGAACTTGGATGTGAGTCTAATCAGAATGTAACTTGCTTTATCAATAGATTTGACTAGCACTTAAGCCATTATAGGTTATATTTTTTTAAAAAAAGAGATTAAACCTGGCTTTGAGGGGCCTCTGCATGTGCTCACGTGAAGCAGGATGCAGGTCAGGCCCTGCATCCAGGTGTTGCAAATAAGCCCTCAGTCTCCCGATGTTTCCAGGGGGCTTCCAGTGTGACTTTGTTGTTGTTGCTGCTTGCAAACTATGTTTAAAAAAATGAGAACCCTAATAAGGAAAGTAAAATGAGCCCAAAATGAGATCCCAGAGTCTGCTGAACGCAACCTCAGGAAGGTTGTGACCAGACAGATGAACAGGCCGAGACACAGTTAGTGCCCGCTGATGATGGCTTTGAGGAGCTGGGCTATTAAGGCAGGGCTATCTCCTCCCCTACCCTCAGACCCCTTGGGGTGAAAGCCAGACCCTCCTCGATCTGTGCCTACATCAACATGGCCCCTGACCAGGCTAGGATGGAGCCAGCCTGGTTTACAGAACACAGCCTGACACCCACTTGGTTTCTGCCCTGACCCCTGGAATCTCTTCAACCTTTCTTCCTCATTAGGACCCCAGAGAACCTGGCGAGTAAAGGGAGTTATGAAATGTGAGACTGTTAGTGTTGCCATGTGGCCCCCATCACATCCTCCAAACCAGGCCTCTTGTCTGTCAGCTAGCCAACCCACTCCCTGGAGAGCAGAGATCCAAACCTGCCCCCGCCCAGGTCCGAACCCCAGCCAGGCGCTGCAGGGCTGGAGGTGGGGGCAGATTGCTCCTGCCGGTCTTTGAAGAAAATGAAACAGGACCAGCCAGCTCTCCCTGAGCCTCTGCCTGGTCACAACCCTATTCTCAGTGGGCACTTATAGTTTCTGGTGGGAGAGGTAGCAGGGGCTGTCTTCAGGTGCTACAGACCCCACCCCACCCCCCAATCCTGCTTTCTGCTTGCGGGCAGGTATGCTGCTCAGAACCCAACCAACCTGCCCTCGTAGGCACCAGCATCACAGTGACGGCAGTGAGGCAAGACGATCCGACCAGGAATCCCAGTGTATTGTGGACTTTGAGTGGCCTCTTGGAAACCAGGAACCCCCCAAATTGCTCAAAACCCTATGTTTGAGCCTTTTTCCCAGGAGAAGTGTCAGCATTTTTACCAGATTTTCAAAGGGTCTATGTGAGTTTGGGTGTAAGAAAACCTATCTCAGGATGGCTTCGTGATGAGGAAAGTTGACTCGCTCACATAATGCCAAGTGGGAGGCAAGATGGCTCTGAAGTTGATTCAGTGGCTCTGCAGAGTATTCAAGGACCCAGGCGCTCTCCACTTTCCTCTGTCACCCTCCCCACATTGGCCTGTCCCCAGCTGGCTCCTCTCTGATCTCAAGGTGAACGTAGCTCAAACTTCACGCCTCCCTAGACAAGCATGAGAGCAAGGAGATGATCCCAGTGGCCCCCCCAGCCCTCTTTGTCACATCTCATTGGCCAACTTGTA